GGGAAATCCGGGTTCTGACCCAAAAACCACCCCCTGGAAATCTGAAAATCCTGCTGGAAAACCTGAAAATTCTGCTGGAAAACCTCCCTGGGATCCTGAAAATCCTGCTGGGATTCAGAAAAATCAGACTGGGAGACTGAAAAACCCAAAAATTCCCCAGGACGGGAGATGCACGCCCGGCTCTGCTCCGGGAAATCCGGGTTCTGACCCAAAAAACCAGCCTGGGATCCTGAAAATCCCCCTGGAAAACCTCCCTGGGATCCTGAAAAACCCCAAGGATTTGTGCCAAGAAATCCGAGTTCTGAGCCCAAAAAAACACCAGGGATCCCAAAAAACCTGAAAATCCTGCTGAAAAAAACCTGAAAATCCCGCTGGAAAACTTCCCTGGAATCCTGAAAATCTGAAAATCCCCCAGAATGGGAGATGCATACCTGGCTCTGCTGCAGGAAATCCGGGTTCTGAGCACGGAAATCCTGCTGGGATCCCAAAAATCCTGCTGGAAAAACTGAAAATCCTACTGGAAGAACTGAAAATCCTGCTGAAAAACTCAAAATCCTGCTGGAAAACCTCCCTGGGATCCCAAAAATCTGAAAATCCTTCAGAACAGGAGATGCACACCCGGCTCTGCTCCGGGAAATCCAGGTTCTGACCCAAAAAAACACCCTGGGATCCTGAAAATCTGAAAATCCTGCTGGGATGTGGAAAAAACCAGCCTGGGATAATGAAAATCCTGCTGGGAACCCCCCTGGATTTCCTGGAAAACAGCAGAAATTCCCAGGGAAAAGAGTGAAAAACATCAGAACTCCCAGAGAAAACAGTGGGATTTGGGGGAGAAAAGCAGGATTTGACTGTAGAACAGCGGTGTTCCCAAGGATCCAGGAGGAACCCAGCAGAATTCCCAGGAATTTCCAGGAAAATCGTGACTTTTTACAGAGGGAAAACAGCAGAATTCCAAGGGAAACCTGGACTGACTGAGAATCGCCCTCACAGGCGCTATTTAACTCCGACAGCGCTAATTAACGACTAATTCGTGCCTAATTAACCCCGTAGGGACTCCTTTGTACGGACGTATTTATTACAATTAACCCATTTGGGCCGTTTTTAACCCGATTTTTGCCCCGTTTGGTTGTGCCAGACCACGAGGCCATTAAAAACCAGCGACTGTGCCGCGTGCTGTGCTGCGGGGCTCATTGGGGGAAACAGCAAGGTGGGGTTTGTGTGGGGGGCGAAGCGGGAGAAGGGCAGCGAGGCACCCGCGCTCCCCCGGGCAGCGCCGCCACGCAAGGCCGAGGCTTCACTAGGCCGCGCTAGGCCGCGCGTTGCTAAGCAACGCGCCGCGCGCTCAGGCCACTTCCGGCTCTAAACCCGCGGTCGCTTAGCAACGCGTCGCGCTGCCGACGTCACTTCCCCCTTCTTCTTCCCCCCCCCCGGCGCCGCCATCATGGCGGCCGTGTCGGTGTTCCCGTCCCAAGGCGAGCTCGGCGCGGCCCTGGCGCGGCTGGTGGCGGAGGCGGCGGCCGAGGCGGTGGCGAGCGGCGGCCGCTTCACGCTGGGGCTGTCCGGGGGCTCGCTCCGCCATCATGGCGGCCGTGTCGGTGTTCCCGTCCCAAGGCGAGCTCGGCGCGGCCCTGGCGCGGCTGGTGGCGGAGGCGGCGGCCGAGGCGGTGGCGAGCGGCGGCCGCTTCACGCTGGGGCTGTCCGGGGGCTCGCTGGTGCCGCTGCTGG